TGGCTTAAGGAATTTGTATAAGTGTTAAAGAAAATAAAATTAAAAAGTAGTCTTCTCAAATGCAAATAATTCAACATTTTTTTTTCCAGGTTGGCCATGTTCAGTACCCTGGAATTGTTTCAAGTGGATGGGCCCCTGTTTAATTATGGATGCTTAAGGCATGGTCTTTCTCTATGATGCCATTCTTTGTTTATAGGTCAGAAACACATCAAAGATTTTACACATATTTTTACAATGTGGATCAAACTTCTCATTTTTTCAATAAATCTTTATGATTTATACAAATATTAAAATGAGTGAGAAGAATAAGGAGTACTTACTTTTAAACAAAGTTATCTAGATTCCTGTTCACCCACAGGCAACTAGGAAGTGATCTATTTCAGAAGCAGAGATCTATTCCTGTAGCAATGGAATACAGTTCTGCTCTGATACATATGGGGTATCAGAGTTGGATTTGACTTTGATGTCATTGGGTTTATTCATTTGATTTTCTTTTTAAAGGAACTATAAGACACAGAGATGTATAGCTAATAACCACATATGTGAGCTACAAATATAAAAACACACAACAAAATATTTGATATCTTAAAGTCATAGATTTAAATTGAAGAATATAGAGTCAATATAAGCAAAATTTCTTTCAAAATTTCTTGTCTTTAAGAATCTTAATCAAGTAAAACTCTGATTGGGCACTCAAAATATCTTTTGTACATTCTGCCTAGAGCACTGTTAATTTCCCTGTTCCGCAGACTATAGATGAGGGGATTTAAAAACGGTGGCAGCATGGTGTAGAACATGCCTATCAGAAGATTTGTAAGAGATGCTTTATTTGCAATTGGACCTAGAGCAGTAATTAAAACAGAAATTACAAACAAAAAGAGAATAGCCCACTGTGGAGTACAAGTAGCTAACGCTTTGTTCCGAGCTTCCACAGAATGGATCTGAAGCACACTTGAAAAAATTTTAATATATGACATAACCATGAAGGCAAAAAATGCTATGACAATGCCAGAACTTATAGTTAGGAGCCCAGATTCAGAAAACTGAACCTCTGAAGATGAAATCCTCAAAATTTGAGGTACATCGCAGAAATATTGATGGATCACATTGGACTTTGTGAATGGAAGCATGAACATGTTGACTGTATAGATGGCAGAATAGAGCAATCCACTGGCCCATGAGCCTCCTATTGCCTGTGTACAAGCCTGTGGGGTGACAGTGAGCCCATAATGAAGGGGACGACAGATGGCAATATAGCGGTCATAAGACATCACCACAAGACCTGCAAGTTCTGAAAATGTACATAAAGTATACAGGAAAATCTGAGCAGCACATTCTTTGAGTGAGATTGATTTTCTACCTGTCAAGGAATTCACAACTGATTTGGGAACAACAACTGAAATAGAGAAAAGATCTATGAAGGATAAATTGACTATAAAGAAGTACATTGGATAGTGAAGATGTGGGTCTGTCACAATTACTAAAATAGAAGATTTCCAGCCATGGCTCCCAGATAAATCGTTAAGAACAGCAGACCTTGTAAGAGTTGGAACTCCCTGGAGCTTGAGATATCCATGAGTAGGAATTCTGTGATGATAGTTTGGTTGCCCATGCTTGCTAATATGCTTCAATCTCACTAGAGTCAAAGAATAAAGTGGAAAAATTAGACTAAAACACAAAATTCAGAAATCCATAGTACCTGCAAATAAATTGATGCCATTATGACCTCTAACCTAGAGGGCAGGTAAGATGAATTCAATAGGTGCATATTTTTCTTGGGATTTCCCCAATAAATGTACTGAGATACAACTTCAACATGAAGGGAATCAGGTTATTTAAGCCATGAATGAATTCAAAATTAAATGAAGAATCAGCAATGTTGTGTGTTTTGATTCACATTTTTACTATTCCTATAAAATAACTTTTTAATCTCTGTCTAAACACTATATGTGATTCATTTTTTATTTCCTTCAATATCAAATGTTTGTTTCAAAATTATCTAAAAGAGCCATAATTACTATAAATTATCACCTGATGAGCTTGAACCCCTGACCTTGCAGTTAAATCAACAGTGCCTTGTTTTGACCACTGCATAGTCATCACTGTGGAGTCCTGGTGTGGTGCTATGGGTTAATGCACCAAACTGCAAAGTTGATTTAACTGCAAGGTCAGGGGTTCAAGCTCATCAGGTGCTCCTCGGAAACCATATACAGGGTCGCTATGGGTTGAAATCAACTCAATGGCACTTAACAACAACAACATAGCCATTACTAAGTCTCTTTATGTGCCATGGAATTAGAGTCACTTCTCATGTCTTACATCTGGGGGGAAAAATGCCCTAAAAAGAATTTCTATTACAGAGTTAATGAATGGCTCTGAATTTCTGCTTAGAATGACTTTAAACCACATGGAATTACATATAGGCTATGGTTTACCATTCTTTCAATTTTATTACCGTATTTTGCATATGTAAGGATCTCTGGTAACATAGTGGTTGTGGACTGGGCTGCTAATCACAAGGTCAGCAGTTTGAAGCTACCAGCTCTTCTGCTGTAGAAATATGAGGTGTTCTGTTTCCATAAATATTCACAGCCTCAGAAACAGCATACAGGATTTCCATGAGTCAGAACCTACTTGATGGCACCTAACAGCAACAACAACACCAACAACATTACATATATATGATCATTTTCTTTCTTCCTTTGAAGCATAATCTATAAAGGATTTGAGCTGAATAATATTCTTAGCAATATAATTTTCCTATTGGTAATGTACACTGTGAGTTCTATTATGGCCACTTTACCTTAGCTCCTCATTTGCACATTTGTTGTTGCTAAGTGTCATCTAGTAGGTTTTGGCTCATAGTAATCCTGTATGGGGTTTCCAAGGATGCACTGGTAAGTTTGAACCGTAGACCTGGCAGTTCAAACTGACCTTGTGGTGGAGTGCTTGTCGTACAGTGCCACACCAGGAGTCACATTTGCACATAGCATCTAAGGAAACGAGAAAAAAACATCTTACCTTAGATTGCTCCTTCACAAAGCAAATGTTCTTCTATCACACACACCTTCCAATATTTAATGAAGACTAATATTCTGTCTAGATTCTACCTCTACATTCTTCTGCAGCTTTGGTTTAAGCCTTCCTATTCAAAAATAACTAATCTAACTTGAACTTTTTACTTGAGAATATCTTGAAGCATTTCAAATTATGAAATTTAATTATC